GCCATTCTGAAGAACATTTCAAGGCAAAACAATAACTTTTCCACGGAGACTAGCTGGTGATGGACCTCCCGCCAGAAAAGTTACGCAGTGAACCTTTAACTTTATGACGCCATTGAGATCTTTTACTTGTATGAACGAAATAAATATAAAAGAGATTAAATACAATACAATCCATGGTCACGAGTACACAGCTGGAATATTAGTCAATTTTGTTTTTAGGTTGATGAGACTGGAATGCCTGGAGTAAACCCACTGACACACAGAGAACATGCAAACTCCCCATTTGGGCCAGGAAATGAACTTGGGACCTTCTTGCTGTGAGACAAAATTGCTAACCACCCAGCTTGGCCTTTGATAAGGATGACCCACTGTTGCAAATAGTGTTGTCATAATACTCGAATACATAATACTAAGGAGTAGACTCAATACTCAAAACCGATTCTGATAAAACTGAAAAAAAATAAATAAACATGCTTTCTTTAAACAATAGAATGTGTAGAATGGAACACATTTCTTTTTCTTTTATATTGAAACTGGTCTTATATCTGTGTGACAAGAGGCAGATTTCCCTGTTGATAACATTGTACTTTGCTATGAAATACTGTATTTTTCGGACTATAAGTCACACTTTTTTTCCTGGTTTGCGTGGTCCTGTGACTTATACTACAGTGCGACTTATATATTAAAATGTTCACACTGACAGCCGTGAGAGGCTCTAGTCTTGTGTGTCAGTATCGGCTACTCCTTTTACTCCTGTACCACTGTCACTTGGCTCTCTACCGCCTATGTTGGCTGCAGAAAGAGCTGCTGTCCTGTCTGGTCAGTCGATTGCACCACTGAAAATTTTAAAATTAAAACAAACTTATAAAGAAAACTGAAAAGACAGAACACAAATGCCCCCAAAAGGAAAATCATATTTTGCAGATTACAGGCTGCAAGTAGCAAAATCTGCAGCCGAAAACAGTAATCGAGCAGCAGAAAGAAAGTTTGGAGTGAGCGAGAAACTTGTGACACTGGGAGGATGCACCATGTAACTTTCCTGGAAGACACTGGATGGATCGACAAAGCCTGAAACCATCCTATTGGATCAGAAAGACTGGAATAATTCTAACAGGAACTGATGCTGAGTCTTATGACAGCTACACAGACGAGGAAACGGCGCTCCGTTTACTTCTGAAGGTCGCGGAGTTGCTCAGAAGTGACACCGAGGATGAAGAATTGACTGGATTTAGTGAGTTGGAGTGAGATGGAGAGTTTGGTAAACTTGTTCTGTTGTTGATGTTATAGTTTATCTGAAGAACTGTTCATATGTGACGTTAACAGTCTGTTGTTCTCTGTTCTACTTTTATCACTCTACTATTGCCTTTCAAAATGATATGTTGCTTCCTGGAGTCTGATTATATAAAATACATTTCCCCCAAAAAGTGCAAGTTATGTTTTTTTCTTCTTCATTACGCATTTTTTGGCTGGTGCAACTTATACTCTGAAGTGACTTATAGTCGGAAAAATATGGCACTCAAAAAGTAAATGCACAAATCTTGAAACTGATCATTTCTATTATTGACGAGACCCAAGAATTCACTGTATTATTACCAAAATCTACATTTTAACAATATTTATTTAAGCCGATCCCATCTGTATTAAATAATATTGTCCTATGGCATGTTATGATGTCATATATGTGCCTATGTTATATTATATTACTTGTCCTGATACTGACTTTGTGACAACTCTAGCTGCAAACTACTTTTCCTCTGCTGGACATCTCTCTTGCTCCACTTCCTTCTCATTTCCACCCTATATTTAAAACTTCAATAGTAGCGAGCGCGTTGGTGTGGCGCTGCGCTGCTCGTGTGTGAGATTACAATCAGACTTTTGTCATCAGTGAATCATCCGAATGGCGGAGGAAGAGGGCGAGAGAAAGAGAATGAGCCAGTCAATGATCTCTGATGGCGGTTAACGATTTTAGCCTAATCGCTCCTCCTCCTCCTCCTCCTCGTGCTTGTGCGGAGAGGAGCCGGGCACACAGCTCCAGTAATGACCACACATCCAGTCCTTAAAGCTCACCTCTCATAACAATGGGACTGTCATTTGCTGCAATGTTTCCAGCCAAGATGACAGACCTCCAAAATATACAGTTTTTTGTTTTTTTTCACGTATTAAAGCTTTTAAGAGTTCATTTTTGGTTTTGCAGAAAAGGGAACACAAAGCCAAGACTTATAGATATCAAAGAAGGCTTAAAATAGTGTATGTTTATCATTCTAATAGACTGCAACTTGTCTAGAATGTTCCATGGTGGAGATTAAACTGTTCTTTTAAACCAACAACTATAGGCTACATTACAGGTCAGATCTGTGGAGAGTCAGCGCTATTCACAAAGAGATTTACTGTATTTTTGAGCAATATAAACACCTTTACGAATAAATGCTAGATGGATCCATTTAATGTCATACCATGGAGTATTCCAGGCCATAACATTTCCACGGAGACAAGCAGGTGACACAGCCTCCACTAGAAAAGTTCTGCAATGCACCTTTAAAAAGCCTGTATCTTGTTTTAATGTACAGGCCCTTTAAACACTAAAAGCAGCTAAATAAGTTATAAATGGAGAGTGTAATAACCTATAATTAGTATCAACTAATACAAGATGCTATTGGTGGTCACGTCTTGTCGTCCAATTAGGCTCATTGTTCACTAAGAATCATGGAAAACCAACTGCCTGACACTATCATAGACACTTTGGTCACTCTTGAAATTGGACCTTGACCGAGAATAAATAAAAAAAATAAAACTACAGTATTTTTTGGAATAAAAGGTGCACTTAAAATCTTTAAATTTTCTAACAAATCAACAGTGCACCTTATAATCCAGTGCACTTCATGTATTAATTCTGGTTGTGCTGACTAACCTCGAACCGGATTTATGTGGTACACGGCGCTCAAAAATCTGTCGAAATGTTTTAGTTAGTACGACTTTGGTAACTACGAAGCCGCAACACTTGATGGATTGCCGGAGCATTACGGCTACAGTAGTCAGGAGGCTTGCAAAGTCGCGTCCTTTAGTCCGACAGAAGCTGAACCGCATCAGGGCACAAGGAGCGAGTTGTTTTATCAGCGCTTATAGTTTAGGCAAATGAGTCATGTGGTTTTAAGTTTTGTTTCTGTAAAACGTAAACAAATGCGCGCAAAGTTGCATTAACACATTATTACTCAATGTATATTTGAGTTGTCCTCGTAGGAAATAAAAAAAATAAACTTAAATTTATTAATTATCCTCCCACATTCACATTCGCCAAGACAGAGGAGGCAACACCGGGGGAATTACGCCATGATCTGTCAATGGATCGTGGACGCATTGGCTAAAGGATCAGTATCAAGTATCGTCTGTTAGTTTCTCTTATAATCCTTATAATCCAGTGCGCCTTATGTATGAAAATAGATGAGAGAATTCAACATTATTGATACTGCGCCTTATAACCCGTAAACAACCAGGCAGACTACCGTATTTTCCGGGCTATAGGGCGCGCTCTTAAGCCTCTAACCTAGGGCTGGGCGATATGGATCAAAAAATATATCTCGATATATTTTGCTATATCTCGATATACGATATATATCTCGATATATGTTCAAGAAAAAATAACCCTCTGAAACTGAAAACTGCAAAAACAAATCTGCCAAATTCCACAAGGTCTTTTTTTTTAAATTAAAGTGTAAGAGGTCGGCAGTTCATATAAGAACATTTAAGATTACAAAAAACCCTAATTACATAAATAATAATTTAACTATAAAATAAAAGAAATAATACATATTTCCTTCTTTTCATTCATAAATAAAACAACTCAACTCAAGCTGATCTTTGCATTAACTCTGTTATCCAAACCAGAACCATGAGCTCTTTTAGCAGAAGAAGCTCAGGAGGTTCGTGGTGCTTGAAGCTTTTCACTGGCACCAACTTTGGGCGTTCACGGCGGTAGTGAGGAGTGAAGGAAACACGAGCGAACAAAGTCAGGGAGGCGGGGGCGACGAGAGAGAAGGTAAACAAGCGAAGCGGTGAAATCTAAATTGAATATAAGCATTATATCGATATATACGATATGTCAGAATTCATATCAATTTTAAAAACTATCTCGATATATTTAAAATATCGATATATCGCCCACCCCTACTCTAACCCCATCAAAAAATGACCACGCGCCCCACAATCCAGAGCGCCCTATACGAATCCACTCGGGTGTCCCAGCACGACTTCAGTAAACTACAAAGCCGCACCACCCGCAGTGTACGCAAACACACACGGAGCAGAGAGCGACAAAACACTCATCAAACTCATCACTCCACGCCGACGAGGAACAGAACGGAGGAATGAACCGAAAAAGCGAGTGCGACGTGCCACTTCTAGACACAACTGAACAACTGAGTCACCGTGAAACGCGCCAAACAAAGTCCCACTGATCCATCCAACTGTCGTGTTTCGTTTAAAGTCCGCTGCGGTTTATTTGTGAAAAAAGTTCGAAAACAGACCATTCAATGACAGTGCGCCTTATAATCCAGAGCACTACTACTGTAAACTACTGTAGTAAAAGTATAGTAACATAATATAACATCAAATGATTAATATTCAAGTACATTTCAAGACAACTGAGTGACCAAAACCACTGAAAGAAATACTACTAATGTTATTACTATTACAACTACTGCTGTCTCTGCTTCTATAGCCATTTGGGGTTAGGGGATACTTTAGAGAAAATGTATTGAAAGTAGTAAAGCCACCTCAAGTTTTCGAAAATAAAACGAAAATGGTTGCAGGAGCCCATGAATCTCCATTAAGTACATATCGGTACTGCTGTTATTACTACTGCTACATCAATGCCGGAACTACACGCGTTTTCTAGTAGCAGAGAAGTAAAATGTGATCGGACGGAGATCTGCTCGAACGTTTGAAATAACAGGAGTTCATATAAAACTCTGAACGAATAAATGCATTAAGTTTTCACGTCTCACCTGAACAAGAAACCAGGAGATGAGCACGGACACCCAAGGGTTACCGCTGTGCGAGGTCTTCTTGGCTGGCGATAGGGCTTTTCCTGCGAAACAAAACAAAAACACATTTAGGAGGCGTAATTATAAAAGAGATAATAGTGGAGTGAATACAGATCATACGCATGCAAAACTATAATTTATTCCGCTATTTGATATTTTCAATACAACGCCGACACCACTCTACTCTGCCTCTCACATCATGTAAATGAATTCAGTCTGGGTGAGTTTTGTAGTCAGTCCACACTTAGTCAAATGTGTCTAAAAGTGGTCAAACAGAGCAGTGGCATAAATATGAGGTTAGGTACTGCTCTATTTACTCTGACCATTCACGGGAAAGGGTCAATATTCAATAACATTTTTATACCACAGTGAAGATTTAAAGAGCTATTTTTTGTACATTAGAACCATTTTCAACACAGTTCTTTTTAATATTATCATGTGGTATTTCTGATATACAGCACTATTCATAATCTACTCAGGGAAGGTCGTATTTACGTATTTATTTTCATTATTAATATCTGTTCAAATGAGATCTAGTTTAAAGTGATAGTACGTAACTTTCTGAGGTTGGAAAGACGAGGAAACAGAAAGATAAAACCATATTTTGGAAACATTCTTCATGGAGATAGGTAGATGTTTTATGCCATACTGTGAAATATTATAGCCAGAGGAACTACATTCCCACGGAAACAAGGAGGAAGGAGGCCCTGCTCCAGGCCAGAGAAGAGTCAGGTTTGTGGAGATGCAAGCCTGCTCACAGTAAGAATGAATGATTTTCCCTTTTTTTTCAGTGCAAAAAAGAAACTGATAATGACAAAACACGCACTTATTTTAGTCTATTTTGGTATATTGCTTTTTCCAAGGTTCCCACTCTTTTTCACTGATAAAATTTCAATACTTTTCCATAACCTAAAGTGAATTTTCCATGACTTTACGGCACTTACATGTGTAGAATTGAGCATACTTTTAGGGTTAACCCTTTCTACTCACCTTATGGTTTGGGATTACAGTTTTTTAACATTCAAAATATTGTCATTTATCGTTGTCTCTTTTAAACAAAAGGAGCAGACGTTTGGAAATAATCATAACAGCCTAATGAGAACTTAACTGAACGCTGTAGTTACTAAAATTCCATGACTTTTCCAGGCCTGGAAAATGACATTTGATGACCGTGGAACCCTGTTTTTCCACCCTCAGCACTCAAAGCACTTTACATAAAGGAACCATTCACACATTCACGCAGATATACATGCACCAGTGTACACAGACACTAGGGGCAAGGTACGATAAGCGTCTTGCTCAAGGACACAATGACAGCATTCATCTGTGGGAGCTGGAATCACATCGCAAAACCTGCTCAACCTACAAAGTGTATGTCGAGAGCAGGATTCAAACCACCACAATTGCTACCTCTATCAGTAGCTGGCATAAAAGTTACATACTGGGGCTTTAGATACTGCCATATTAGTATTTTAACTCTACAAGATACAAAAGATTACAAGATGAGAAACTATGATTATGGAAAGCAGAGAATTTCTTGTACAAATCATCGTTAAATACGCATTTGCACTTTGGTACGTTGCAGACTGACCTGCAGAGAGACACATGTACAGACCCGTGTTTGTCCCCGGACATGAACGTTTGGTCTCGCTACACTACGCACAGCAACCTACATTCGGTTTGTCGATTAAAAATGAACGTAACCGATGAAATTCTTAACGATCAATTATCGATTAATCGACGAATCGTGCCCATCCCTGCTCTTGAATCAGTTCAGGATCAGGAACACCCAGCTCGAGGATTATTCCAACATCATTCCACACACATCAAAGTTTACAACAACTTACACAAGATTACAACTTCGTGTCGAGTTTGTGTGCGGCACAGCTGTGCATCTCCCATTTACGGAACATATCAGATTTAGATTAGTCGCGTCGCTTTTAATGTTACTGACATTTAAACAAAATTTCTGTAATTAACTCCCCGTCTTTGGAGGAGAGAGAGAGAGTGGGCGGTCCGCGCACAAGACCTCACTTTGCTTTATTCGAAAACGCCGAAGAGAAAGGCATTTAAATACAGCCTTGTGACTAGGGTGACATTTATGACAAAGCTCTGTAGTGTAAAGGGTTAACGCACGCAAAGAAACAAACCAAACCGAGATGAGAAGAAGAGGAAGAAGAGGAGGAGAAGACGGGGAAAGTTTGAAGGGTGAATTTCAGAGAGGATGAATGAACGGGAATAAATAAGAGCTGAAAGTCAAATGAATGCAGAGAGAGAGAGAGAGAGAGAGAGGAGGGGAGGAAGAGACGAGAGAAACGGCCAGAGGAAAGCGAGGGAGAGACCGGAAAGAAAGGGATGATGGCAAAAAAAGAATGGATAGAAAGAGGACGAGAGGGAAGGGGAGAGAAAGGGAGTTATGAAAGCGGGAAAGCGTTGAAGAGGGGGAGATTGAGAGAGAAAGAGGGAGGGATGAGAGATGGAAAGGGGCAAGAAAGAGGCAACGGAGAGAGAGAGGAGAGGGAGGGAATGAGCGAAAAGAAAATGATAAATATGAAAGCAGAGAAAGATAGAAGAAAGGGGGAGAGACGAGAGTGAGAGACAAGAAAGAGGAGGAGAAAAGAAGAGAGAGCGAGAAAGCGTGGGATGAGTATGTGAGAGAGAGAGAGAAGAGGGGGATAGTAATGAGGTAATGAGAGACATAAAGGAAAAGAGAGAGACGGAATGAGGGATGTGATAGAAATATACATAAAAAGGAGGAAAAGATGTAAAATAGAAAAGAAAGAGGAGAAAGGAAAGAGTCAGAAGATAAAGACTAGAGAAAGAAGGGAACAGAGCGAGTAAAAGAAAGAAAATAGAGAATAGTGAGCAATGAAAGAAACAGAGAGAGAGAAAGAGGGAGACAATAAGACAGAAGAACGAAGAGAGACGTAATAAGAGAGAGAAAAGAGGTGGAAGGACAGAGAGAGAGTAAGAGAGGGAGGAGAGATAAATAAGAGTTGAAAGGAGAGAGAGAAGGGAGGTTGAAGAGCGAAAGACAAGAGAGGAGGAGAAAGAAGAGATGAGAGAAAGACCGAAAGGACAGAGGAGAGGGAGAGATCAGAAAGAACGAGGTGAAAGTAGAAAAAGAATGAATACAACGAAGAGAGAATGGAGGTTAGTAATGAGGTGATGAGAGATATAAAGAAAAAGAAACAGAGAAAGAGAGATGCATTAAAAATATACATAAAAAGGAGAGAGGGGGAAAAGAAAGACGTAAAATAGTGAAGAAAGAAAAGGAGAAAGAGTCAGAAGATAAAGACTAGAGAAAGAAGGGAACAGAGCAAGATAGAGCGAGTGAGAGAAAGAAAATAGAGAATAGTGAGCAATGAAAGAAACAGAGAGAGAGAAAAGGGATGAGAAATGGGAAGGGGCAAGAAAAGGGAAAGAGGCAATGGGGAGGAAAAGATGAGAGAAGAGGTGGTGGAGACAGAGAGAGAAAGAAAAGAAAAGGATGATGAATATGAAATCAGAGAAAGACAGAAGGAAGGTGAGAGTGAGAGACAAAAAAGAAGAGAGAAGGAGAAAGAAAGCGAGAGAGTGTGGGTTGAGAGAGAGAGAAGAGGGGGATAGTATTGAGGTAATGAGAGACATAAAGGAAAAGAGAGAGGGAAAGAGGGACTAGAGAAGAAAGAGGAGAAAGGAAAGAGTCAGAAGATAAAGACTAGAGAAAGAAGGGAACACAGCGAGATAGAGCGAGTAAAAGAAAGAAAAGAAAATAATTAATTGTACGCAATGAAAGAAACAGAAAGAGCGAGGGAAAGAGATAGATAAAAGTCAAGAGAGAAAGAAAGATAAGAAAGAAGACATAATAAGGGAGAAGAGGTGGAAGAAACACAAGGACATAAAGAGAGAGATTAAGAGGGGGAAGAGAGGAGATGAATGAAAAGAACTAAGAGTTTTGAAAGAGTGGGAGGGAGCGAGGAGAAGAAGAGAGGCAGAAAAGAGGGGGAGATAGAGAGAAAGAGGGATGAGGGATAGAGAAAGAAGGGGAGGAAAAGACGAGAGAAGAGGTGGTGGAGACAGACGACAGAGGAGAGACTCGAAAGAAAAGAGTGAGTATAGAAAACGAATCAAACAAACAAAGGGAGAGAGAAGGAGAAGAGAAGAAAGAAGAGAAAGGAAAGGAGATAAAGACTAGAGAGAGAGAGAGACAGAGATACAGACACAGAGACAAGACGAAAGAAAGAAGAGACAATACAGGGAGGGATGTAAAGAGAAAGAAAGGCGGGAGAAAGCACAGGGACATAGAGAGAGAGTGGATAAGAGGGGCAAGAGAGAAGAGAGGAGTATGAAAGAGAGTGAGAAAGAGAGGCACAGGGTTGAAAGCGTCACAGATTAGTTAAAGAGAAGAAAGCGGCGGAAGATGAGCGGATAGAACAACAAAGCGACACGTCCATCCGTCAGCCCGTACAGGACAGAGTCAAGGTCAAGCACGGAGACACGTACATGAACGAGAGAATACGCTCCACATGTTTACCTCTTTATGTTCTCCTATCATCTGGAGCGGCCCTGCGCTCAACAAGTGTTCAAGTGTGATTAGTTCAAATGAAATAACACTCTCCAAGTTCACTCTCGAATGCACAGAGTGGTTTAAAGCCACGACTGACACTGTTATCACTGTTATACACAACATTTTGACTGCTTTTCCCATTCAAAAAGATTAAATATTTAGTTTTAAGCGTCCTATGTTATGCAAAATTGACTATTATGAGTTTTAATAATAATAATAATAATAATGCATCAGTTTTATATAGCGTTTTTTTGGACACTTAAAGACACTTTACAGAGTATTATTCTAGGGGTGTCAAATTATCGCGTCAATTGAGATGAATGAATTACATATTTAGTGTGTTATGTTTTTTAATCGTGATAATCTTATTTTTAATCTCTAACTTTACCGTTTCTGTATGCGGGTTGCCTTGTTATACAGTCCCGCACTGTGCAGTCCTGCTCTGCTCGTTCCCGCATCTACGATAAACCTGCACACGTCTGATCTCTGAAAACA